ACGACCCAGACGCCGCGGGCGGGGTGGAACTCCGCCGTCCTCACCTCCTGGTCGAACACGGGCCGGATTGAGAAGTGGGCGGCGTAGGACTCCATGTAGGAGATGAACTGGCGCTTGGAAGGGTACTTTGGGAAGTTTCCGGGGAAGTCGAAGAGGGGAAGCTGGCAGAACTGCTTGGGGAGGTGGAGCTTGAGGCGGTGGTAGGTCCGCTGCTGCCACAGCGAAGCAATGCAGTCGCTCCGCTCGAGGAGGAGGCAGGGGACGCCGTTCTGTTTCAGGCAGGCGGCGACGGCGAGCCCGGAAGGACCCGCTCCGATCACGATGGGACCTTCGACCCGAACCCACTCTGCATCTTCTCCCATGGCGACGAAGAGGATAAAGGAGAAGGAGGAGGGGCCGTCTTGGGGGTTTTAATAAATATAGTGCTCTGTTTTTGCCCTGCTCTGTTTTGGGGACTTCTGAAATGCTGAGTGAAACAGAGAGAGGCGTGAAGCTTAAGGAAATGATTTGGGGGGGGGCTCTGTTTTTTTCCTCTCAATGCTCTGTTCTGGCTTATACTCTGTGAGGGAGAAGAGTGGAAGAAAGGGAGAAAGATTGGGAGATTTTGGGGTTTAAATAAATAAATAAAAACTTTTAAATGCACAGTAAATACATTTAAAAGGGGTTTTGAAAAGGTTTGACTAAATAAAAAGCATTGACACCAAAAGTTTTGACTCTTGGTACTTGGAAGCTTATTTAGTTGATTTCCGGTACAAAATTCAATTCTAGGAGGATTGGAAGGTAGGGTCTAATTTTTTTGGTCTCATCTTGTTAGTTTTGATCTAAATATTGTGAGATTTAATATTATCTCGTTTAATTTGATGTAATTCTAGTTAAGTACTCCGTATAAAGTTTATTCTGATTTGATCATATTTCAATCGAAATTAGCAATAACAAAAGAATAAGTTGAAGAGAGCAAGTCAAACAAGATTAGTTGTAACTTTAAAATTCATTTTTATTTGGTTTGATCAATTCTGATCAGACAAAGATCAAATTAGGTTTATAAAATTCAGTTACAAACCGATCAAATGAAACGTAGAGAATTGAACCATATTAGTATAATGTTTCAGTTCTCACGCGTATGGTTCCAAAACTTAGTTCACAACAAGAACAATTCTGTAGGATCCCACAAAAGTAGAGTATGAAGAAAGTGTGTATGTGTGTGTGCAGTTTTTGTCTTACTCAAAAGTAGAGAATTTCTTTCTTAAAAAAAGGTGGAACGCCCACTTTGGCTGCCTCCACACTTCGACTCGACATGATTGTGAGAGAGATAAATCATGATATAATCTCAATCTAGTTTTTAGAAAAGTCACCCCATATCCAGTGCGCATAAGGAGCTATTTTAAAGAATAAAACTCTCACATGTCGCTCATAAGATTCAACCATAGGATCAATGTGCTTGACATTCTCTCATTGAACCAGTTGAGCTACACACCGAGAGTTACTTTCTAAAATGTAGGTCACATGGTTCCAAAGTCTAGAACATAAAATTTCAAACTATGTTCAAAATTTATAGTTGAGTTATAACTTAAAATTTGATCTGGACTATTAAGTTGTTTTAGTTAGAAGAGAAAGGAGAAATGAATGACAAACACACACAAAAATTTATTTTGTGTTTTTAAATCTTGATATCCAAATATCCATCCCCTCATAAGTCATATCCCACCAAACAAAGCCTCAATTAAATTCCAAACAAGGCATATTACTTCGTTTCTGGCACTAAAAAAACATTTGAATCCAATCCTATTTCTTTAATTTCTATCTAACCTTAAGATTAGTTGAGTGACTTCTGCCTAGTTTGAGAAGAAGTGTTTTCAATTAGCCTTAACATCTGAGAAAAAACTTTTATTCGTATGTATATATTAATTTGGAAAATGCTAACCGAATCCCCTCTTTCTATCTAACCTTAAGCTTTTGTTGTTCATTTCTGTTGGGGTTTGTAGGCCGCCCGCTAGAGGTACGACACATTGTTTTTGTGTTCATTTTTTTGCGTGTTTCATATTTATGCACGAATAACGCTAGAAACCACCGTGGTTGGCACCACGGAAAATAATTGTCTGTGAACTTGTATGCACAGGCATCAAGAAATGCACCTCAATGTTACTCTACCAATATAAAGAAACATTTTGATGGTTCATGCTGGGTACAAAATACGAGTGCGATTAAAAAAATATGCACTAAGTTCAAAAACTTTTATCTCCTTTGTCTGTTCAAAATTTACACACCAGAACAAATGTAGTATCATTTTTAAATCAGTGGGGTTCTAGTGACACCGGCTTTTGTTGAAACTAGCAGTGCCACTGTCATTTTGAAGCACTTCCGATGCTCCGTTCGTAAAATTGACAATTCCTACCTCCTCTAACCCATCCCCTAAACCCCACCGGACCCCGCCGTACCCCCTAATATGTCTAAAATACCTCCAAAACAAATTCTACCCGTCATAAACTACATAATGGAATGTACTTTAGACATTTTAGGTGGAATTAAATGTATTTTATGGGTGCCTAAAAAATTAGGGCGGAAGTATTTTCAAGAACACATGGAGTAACAATGATTAAAACAATACTAAATGTACCCAACCTGGATTTTCCCTTTTTTTGGTTGCAGAATTTAGTGCATATCATCAAGTACAGTTTTTTGTGGCAGCCTTCACTACTCTGCACGCACCACTACATAAGTTCAAAAAAAAAAAGAACAATGGTAATGCTCTTTAAGATGGATAATAGTTTGAAAAAATAAGAAGTAAACTCAACTTGAAATTTGAATCTTAATTTAATAGTAAGTAATATGGTTTGTAAACGAATGCTCCGTGCAAGAACTCCATCGTCATTGCCAGTTGTCAAACTCAAGCCGTTCACTACGTAAACGAATACCACGTGTAATTATTCCTAGTTTTTTTGTCAATAAATTTAAACTTTTAATGGAATTTTTGTATGAGTTCAAATGTTTCTCAGTATAAACATTTCTATGACCTACAAAGTGAGTGAGTTGGGCAATTCCACAAGCATGCATGGAGGAGGAGCCTCCCACAATATACCTACTCTACATAAACCCAAGAAGAGGGAGCAGTGGGACCCTCAAGATTGGGCTGAAATCTCCCTTTTTAAGAACATAAGTGAATGCTCCATGTATGAGATTGGTTAGTGTCATTAACCCTACACACCATATGCATATCATATGTGTCCTGACAGAGGGGAAATATATATAATGGGTCGCGCTATAGTCACACCAAGTATGACCCCAGACATGACATCATTGTGTCTCACGTTATACAAAAATAACAACTGTTTATGCAAAAATGTCTATAAAATACAATAGTATCGTATCTGGTGTCATAGACACTATGACTATATATAGCTTTTTGCATGTATGATTTGGATTTTCTTGGATGGAATGATTTGAGGAGGGATACGTTGGGTGGCATGGCGTGTTAGATCAAATCAACCTCTTAATATGCTATCGCCCACCCGTCGTTTTTAGCTTTATCATTTTGAAAGTTAGTTGATACCAATGCAACATTATCTAAAACGCGAACTTTGTTCTCAAATGATGAAACCTTAAAAATCATATGTTCAAATCTCAAAGTCGCAATACTCGAACAAACAAATGTTATTACATGTGCGTGAAATGACTTGTTAGAATATAAATTCCGTATTGGTCCTCTGAATCCAAATTTTTAGTTGAGCCATGCTAGAAGAACCCCACCTTATACCCCACTTTTGACCCTCATTGCTTTCACAGACACAACAGACACCGAACACTGCTCGGTATATCCGTAACATCGGTAAGAAAATGAGGTTAAAAGCCAGATGTAAAGTGAGTGTACAAGTGAAGTTCATATAGTTTTTTTTTTCCTTTTAGTTAAACTACAAGTTCTCTATGGGTAGATGATCTGTTACCACGTAGAATGCCATGCCATGCCAGGCCAGGCCACGCCTATCTGCAAACTTTTCACAACGTACTCCACTTTCACTCAAATATCATTTTTAATTTCGTGCACTTTATCCTGCATGCTGCCCAACTTCTATTTTTTTTCTTTCCATTTTCTCTGTAACTTTCATTCTATATTACCGTAATGCGTTGCATTTATTTTCTTTGGGCAATGCTAAAGCTTACACCAAATTTGACACCATGACCGACAATCGTTTTGTGAACTTGTATACAACACGATAACCGTATATGGACTTTATGTGTATCCGATGACGATTATATCTGGTGTGCACAAATTTACAGACAATTATCGATCTAGGTGTCAAATTTGGTGTTATTCTAACATGACTCATTTGGTGGGTTTGTTGGCGTTGTGAAGCTAAACAAATGCATTGACTTGTTGCAATTCAATCAATCAAGCAAAAAAACAAAAAAAAACACACACACAAATATGTGACACATCAAACAGAGAACTCATCCCAAATGACAACAACCCCTCCTTCATTGCCAAAACAACCATGAGACAAGACTCATACCTTCGTAACTAGTTCCGGTCCATAACATAATAACACTAGAGACAAGTAAAACCACAATCTTAAATTAGACTTAAAAAAACGAGGTTTAAAACGAAACTAAACTGTCGGAATGCCGCATATGTTACAATTGGACATCTCTCTCTCTCACTCTCTCTTCCTAGGATCTACCAAACTATGGAATATATAATAATAAAGAAGAGAAATGCCCATTAAGAAAAAAAAAAGAAGAATAGAGGGAGAGATGAAATCATCTGTCACCTGTGTTAGCGGTACTAAACTTGCAGGTTGTCTAGGAAGCTCTGCAACTCCTTCAGCCCTTCAGCGGAGATGCTACGGTGGACCCTCCCACGCGGAGCGACCAGGTTAGGGGGAGGGCGTTTTTGGAAACACACCACTACGACCGACAGGTTGTCCCCACTCTTCCTCTTCAGCGCCTCGTCAACCAGTTCTCTGCAGCACATCTCTGGGTCGTTGTGCTCCTGCAGCCCCCGGCGGGCAAAGTCAACCGCGTTTTGACTCATGAACACGTCCCAAATCCCGTCGCACCCCATGATGAGGAACTCGTCCTCCTCCGTCAGCTCGGTGCTCATGAACTCCGGGTCTGCCGTGAGGGGCCCGCCCTCTCGGGATTTCATTCCCTCCAAGTGCCAGTCTCCCAGCGCACGTGCAACGTTGAGTTGTCCGTTCAGGTAGCCGTCGTTCACGTACCCTCCGGAAGCTTCTATGCGCTTTCTTTCCCGCAAACACAGGGGTTTGTGGTCTCTAGACATCTCAATGGCTTTGCCTCGCCGGCAGAGAACGGCTCTACAGTCACCCGCGTTTGCCACCACCAAAGAACTGTAGTTTCACACATTTTTTCCAAACCATTCATAAAACATACGAGTATTAATTAAAAATTCACTTGGTAAAAATTAATTAACCTTCCAACAACAAGAGCTGCCAGGGCGGTGGTACCGGAAGCAATGTCAGCATCCAAGAAACAGGATTGGGCAAGAGCAGTGTCGGTCTGCTGAAATGCAGAAGAAACAGCCCTCTCAATCTCCTTTGGGAAATCCTCATCATCGGCAATGAACCGTGGTAGGTGCGAGCATGCAAAGTCAGCTGCGTGCTTTCCTCCATGACCATCAAAAACCTGAGAATAAATTGGTAATCTGAAGGTCGGTCGTGCACAGCATACACATTCTGTTTTAGAAATCGCCAATCCGCGCATAGGCCCTCCCTATGGCGACTTTTATCCTACCGTCACAACATCTGATTCACAAGTCTACTGCCTAATGGGTGCCTAGTACTTCTTTTCCAAAACCGAACCATATGTCAAATCAGTTTTAAAATGGTAAATATGCTATTTTTCCCCATAGGACAAACAACCACAAACCCAGTAGAATCCCACAAAAGTAGGGTCTCGAGAGGGTGTGTTTACATAGAACTTATCCTTACTGGGAAGTAGATGTGTTGTTTCCATAGAAAATTAGACCGGACCGAACAAAACAACAAAATAAAATCCGAATAGAACAAGTAAATGAGATCAAACCAGAGCAAAATAGTTTTGGTTTTGATTTCAAGATCATTTCCACAACCTGATTTAAAACTAAGCTGAAAGCAAAAACTAAAAAAGAATAAGAATAAGAAGAGCCTAACGTGAATGTAACCCTTAAGCTTGAAACCCCGAGTCATTGGTTCCATGAATTGACAGTTGCACACAAACACAGAACTTTCACTATTTCTTAACTGTTATAGTAAGACTAGTGTCGCGACTCTAGACTCGCAATGCCAATAGTCATAAGTAGTCAATAATATGAAGGGGAAAACAAAACTAGAAGAAGCATTGGAAGATTCTATGCGAGAAGATTCAATGGCTCTTCTTTTTTTCTTTTTTCGTTTTGAGATAAATACAGAAAAGGGTAAGCTTTGCTTGGTTAGTAGGAAAAGAAATATGGGAGAAAGAACTATGTGGGACGCACCCTCGCTTCATTAGAAACTAGGGAGAAAAAAACCTAGGAGTAGCCTTTTTTGTGTTTCCATTTATACCCTCTATCTTGTATATCATTGATGGATTTAACTGTATTCTTCTTTTTTTTCTTAAATGACACACAGTTCTATCCTTCCTTTCTTCTCACACCCTTTCTCTCTTCTCAATTCCTCCTCTCAGCCCAAACCAAACGAAGTTTAAACAAGCAAAATGTAGGTCATTTATCACATCATCACCAAGCAATTTACCAGGCGTTACAATAAGACAGTTTTAAAGGGTTAAAGTGTGGAGGAAGAGAAAAGTGTAAAACAATTACCCCATAGAAGGCATTAGGTCCTTCAGAGGAGATCCCAAATCTATAGTCCTGTAAGAAATTGTCTGCACAAACACACACGTCTTCCATGATTGAGCGGGACCCAATGTCGGTCCAGGCTCCCGAGCGCAGTGCAGGAACAAACCTAGTCTCGGGATCATCTATGGGTAATTTTGGCTCATCAGTAACATCTAATGGCCTCCCTTTCGTCTGCAAAGCAACCCAAACAAAATCACCAAATAATGGAAATAAGTTACACAGTTTTACATCACAACAATGGAAATAAATTATGCAGGTTGAGGAATGAAGCTCTCTCAGTTCATGGCACTACAAAAGCAACAAGTTCTCATTAGATGATAATTAATGCAGAAAGATTATAAAAATCTGGTAGAAATGCTAAAACATTCTATCCTTAGGGGACACAGCTTCATATCTGGGCAGAAGAACCAAGAAAAAGGCAAAACTGTTGCGAATTGAAATAAAAAGTGAAAAGAATTAGCTGAACTGGAAGCTCAGATCTCAATTTCACAAAACAATAAATTCATACAGAACAAAGAATTTGCATGAAAATTAAAGGTTATAAAGATTGGAGCTTGAAGATCGTAAGAGCTACAGCAGAATTATATGATTAATTACCAAAGAAGGGTGTCGAACCATTGATCTCTTACTACAAGGAGCCAGCGCGGCGGCGCAGGAACTCTGGCGGAGGCCGCCGGAGAGGGGGTTGGGAGGCTTGCCGTCGGCGGAATTTCCGGCTCCCGCAGAGCCGCAACTGCTTGAAATACCATTACTGCCCTCCATCCTGACCCTGATCCTCAACCATCACCTGATCGATCTTTTCCGGTAATTCCAAAGAATTCTAGGGTTCTAAGGTTGGAAGAGTTGAGAATTTTATGGTGGGCGTATAGAGGCGAGGGAATTGGTAGCGGGGGTTGAATCTAGAGGTGGGGACTGTAGAAGAAAAAGAAAAAGGGGTCGTTGGGAGCATACCATAGATCTGTTATGTTCTTTTCAAGTGAAGAAAGAAAGAAATGATGTATCAGCAGCCTCGTGTTCTTATGGGGACCTGACATCTGTCATTTTTCTTCCTCACAATAATGTAATTTTTGAAGGGGTTTTTAGCCTACAATATAGATTTAAATTTTTATTTTTAACTATCTGAGACAATTATATTTTTTAAAACATTTTATAATTTTTATCTTAGTGACTTTAGCATTTCTAATTTCCATAAAACAAAGGGTTACCATTTTCATTTTGGCTTATCTTTAGAAAAGATTTTTACATTAACTAAAAAAAATTATCAACATGTCACTCAACTCAGTTGTCACACTCTGACCGGATTAGTATTGATTAATTAGAATATTCCATGTCACCATCTGAGAGTCTATTTTTTTACTTTATATATATCAGCCATCATCCTAATCTATCATAATCTACGGGTGAAATGGATTAAACAGCTTAAAATACCATGAACTATCCTTTTGTTATAGGGAGGTAAATGAAATGTTGAGGGATATTTTAGGGAGATAAATGAAAGAAAAAAAGAAGTGGAGTGAGCATAATAGTAGTTGGAGTGTCATTATCAAATATCAAGTGCCCTCATGATTTAATAAGAAGAACAATTACACATTGCACTTTAATTAATTAATTCCAAAACACAACAAATTTAAGCTCTCCTTGAAATGGAACTCCCGGTAGTAAATTAAACTCTCATCATCATCTTCACCGAAGGGGAGAGCTGTTGGATCAACTGATCTTCCATGAGCACCCCAACTTCATCCTCCGGCAGCGTAACCATAACAGTCCGGCTCAACGGCCCCGTTCCCGGCGATGGGAGGATGATGACGAGTCTGTGATTCACCGGTCCAACATCCGGCTCGATGTAATAAGACACGTGGACCGGTGGTTCAAAATGACCCCCGAAACAAGCAGAGTANCCTTGAAATGGAACTCCCAGTAGTAGATTACACTCTCATCATCATCTTCACCGAAGGGGAGAGCTGTTGGATCAACTGATCTTCCATGAGCACCCCAACTTCATCCTCCGGCAGCGTAACCATAACAGTCCGGCTCAACGGCCCCGTTCCCGGCGATGGGAGGATGATGACGAGTCTGTGATTCACCGGTCCAACATCCGGCTCGATGTAATAAGACACGTGGACCGGTGGTTCAAAATGACCCCCGAAACAAGCAGAGTATGAGTCCAGCTCCTCTAGGTTGGCACACACCAGCAGAGAATCACGACCGTCGAAGAGGACATTGGAACCCGCGGATTGACCATTGTTCTGTTCCAGCCATTCGATCAAGCCTATGACGCTCTCTCTATCCGTTCCCTTCATCACATTCGTTATCGCCATGGCCGATTCGCTCAGCAAATCTTCGTCTTCGAAATCCATACTTCCCTTATTCCATGGCACCTGCATTCTGAAAACGGTTTGCTTCTCCATTTGAAGTGGAGTGTTAAAGAAACATTCTAATACATACCTTGTTATAAACCATGCAGTTCCCAAAGAAGCCTTTGTCCAAGCCCAACACTTTCCTTGCGTCGAATCCGACAACCAAATCCATCAATCCCACTTTTTTCGCCTTGGTGATGCGCGTCCAGAATAGCCCAACAAGCGCCTCAAAAGGGCCGCCGCCGCAGGGCACTGTTTGTGCCATTAACATGCACCTCCGGACCACTTCGTCCGGGAAGAGAAGGGTGATGGTTGCCGTTTGTTTGGCCGGAGAAATGTGAGAGGGCGATTGGTTTTGTCTCGTCCTGAGTTTGTAGTGTTCTATCAGGCGACCAGCACAGGCATGTGTCTGGTGGGGGTTGTGGGGGTTCTTGTCGAGTGGCGTTCGAAGCGGCAAGGGATGGACATGAGGAGGAGACAGCATTTTTCCGGCGAAAGCCGACATGTCTGCCCATGCTCTGATGAACAGAGTGGCGGCAATGGGATCTGCAAGGAGGTGTGTGCAGCTCAGGCCAATTGCTGCTCCCCCTCCTTCAAACTCAGTTATCTGCAACACAATAATCCTTGATTCCCACAAAGAATTTTATACATCTTTTTTTAATTTGGAGGTCAAAAAATCGTTCACGCTTTCTACTTAAGGTTCGTTTGAGAAGAGGTAAAGTGACTTCCGAAAGTCATTTTCCCATATTTTCGGGTGCTTGGCTGTTCCGGAAAATAAGAGTCAACAGAAAATGATTTCCCAAAATAGAAAATAAAATGAAATCTGTTTCTTTTCGGCAGAAGAGATTTTTCACCCTTCTCATATTTCATAGATCGAAACTCGCCATTTTTTATTATGTTAGAATAACAAAAATTATATTTTTTTCATTTTTCAAACATTCAGCCAAATGCCTGAAAATGAAACTACTTCTCGAAGTCATTTTCCATCTTTCCGAACGGACCCTTAATAATTTCGGCGCAAAACCCTCATGAAATATAGGTACAAAAGATGTGCTTAATGACTTGCCTGAAGATAAAAGGGTGACCAAAAATATGGGTCAGCTGGCATGGGCTCCCAGTGGGCAAGCTTGAACTCCTTTTCCCTATCCACATCCCTCAACCATTCATCCACACTCCCCTTCACTTTTGCCTCTATTACTCTCAACCCAGCGTCGTTGCATTTGAGCACCCACTTCTCTTCTTCCCCGGACCTCATCATCAGTCTCCCTGTTATGTTCGGAAAGGCATTCAGAGTTTCGGCAATTGATTCATGCAACTGCACCATCTTGTCGAACTTCCTGCACAATTTCAGTTGCAACAGAATGTCACCAGATTGAAGACAAACAACAACTTCACACACTATTATTGTTACCCTTGAAATCAAATGTTGGTTACCTGTAGTAGAAAACGACGCGGATGATGTTGTGTTGCATCGCGCGATCAAGAACGGATAAAGGGATGAACTTCCCGGGCTGCACCGGTATGGTGCTGACCGCAGTTCTTTTGGCCATGGATAAAAATTCAGACATTGTGACTAAATCCTCTGCGTTCTTGATTGAGGATGTCTATGAGATATTAATATGCTAAGATATTGAATTAATGTAAGACATTAGTATATATATTGCATTTCCTTATTCAATGCTAACAGAATAACCACTCCACTTTTGTTGGGGGAAATGTTTTTGGTGTGAGCCCTGGCCAACACATTCATTCATGGTAAGTGAACTTGGTTTTGCTTTACACAAACTTCTTTTCCAACATAAATATCACATAATTAATACATCTATGTCCATTGGAATGTTATGTTCACTCTCGCGACGAGAGTGGAAATTGCAACAACAAACTCAGTAAAATACCATACAAAATGTACCTATACGCAGATAGACCTTACCTCCACTTAAAAAGAAAAGAGACTATTTTCAAGAAACCTCAGACTCAAATAAAGCAAAATGTTGTTTTCATGAGGGTGCAAATTGAACCTCCTAATAGTATTCTGTCACATGTGCAAAGTGTTTTTTTTATTTTTTATTTACAATTATATACATGATAGAATATTTTTAGGGCGGTGCGATTTGAGTGCTGCGAAGTAATGATATTAGGCTAACTCGTGGAAGTTGTCACAAATAATGGAGTGTCACCAAAACAAGGCATTTTCTTCTGTTGAAGCTCTTCGCAATCACCTGCACTTGCATTTATTGGATCAAAGGTGTAGCCATCAGGTAAGAAGGGGAGCCCTTGTTTGACACGGCCCAATCTCCTCGAATGTAGAACTTGCTTGGAAACAACCGGCAGCCGAACAGACTGATACTCCTTGAGAGCTGAACTGAGATTCTCCACTCCCCACTTCTCAAGACATTTCCCTAAGACCGCAGCATCCAAAATGGACATGTTTGTACTTCTGAGCCCATGTGGAGTCGTAGGGTGGGCCGCATCCCCAACCAACACTACATTATCCCAATGTATTTGCTCCAAAGGGTCAGCATCATATATTACGTTTAGGAATGGATCTGTTGTTTCTCTTATCAACCTCGTCAGCTCGGGATCCCAAACCTTCTCTGCTTCTTCGAGCATATTCCTGAGCATGTCATTGCTCACTCTCATGGTGACTGAACTTCCCTGCATTTAATCATCCTGTTAAGAATAAGTGTTGGGCCTAACTCACCCCAAAAGAACTCTCAATGAGGTTTACCTCAAACTGATCAAGGGGTTCATTCGTTCATATTTAGTCAACCAAAATCAACTATTACCCACTAATAATAGACCTATCATAAGCATACTAGGACACATAAATCATTATTTACTCTACCAACTAACATAGAGATATAATAAGAATACTGATAGAAAACTGTTAATATTCCTAATAGTAATTGTAATAGGGAATTTATAATTATGATGAGTGGATGTGTAATATGCACCTTGAGTTGTGGTTCAGGTTGACTAATGTACCAAATCCAGTTCATCTTCTTGTCCCTTAGCTCATAAAGCACACTATGGGTTCCAGTGCCCAGGTTGAAGTAAAGGCACCTGCCAAGATCTGGATATGCTGCCTTTATGCCAACTATGGCTTCTGAGTTCTCATTGTTTGAGAAATCAACAACTCCTCTCCATGCACAATAACCCGAATACCTACACGAAACATGTGATTCATAATCAAGCCACGTATTACAAAGAAACAGAGTTCACCATCATCTGATTCATAAGCAAACCTTAGTTTAAAGTCTGGAAGGAAATGGTTCCGGATTGAAGATAGAGAGCCATCAGCACCAACAAGTAAATTGCCAACTATGGAGACAGTGTCTCCAGAAGCCAAGGTTTTGGTTTCGACACGGACATAGGATCTGTCATCATTGGGTATCGAAAAAGAGACAAACAAATGGCCCCACAAGACAGTGTTTCGGGGTAGAGCATTGTAAAGAAGGTGAAAGAGATCAGCCCAATAAGCTGCTCTGTGGTTGTAACCTTCATCCCTTGTTAATGTCCATTTGATTTTCTTTTCTTCATCGGTTGCATTGTTCTGTCATTCAAGATGCATCTTGTTGAGTGGGATATAGTCCCATATAGAACACCCAGACTAAAAAAAAGATTACTAGTATTATACGGAGTATAAGAAAATGAGTTATTCTTCCCATTTCTAATTGGGTTGGGGTTGAGAATATAGTATCACATAAAAAAATCTCATAATTCTACACATATCACCAGTTTAATGACTTTAGTCATTAGGGTGCAATTCATTTTAGAGACAATTTCAAAAGATTAGCATTTCGATTACAAATAATTTAAACATCATCGAGATTCACTGAAGTGATCAAGCGATAACACAAACTGCTAAAGGTTTGATCTTTAAAACAAAAAAAATCAAGAAAAACGATAAACTCAACAGTTTTCTTACAAACAGATAGTGAGCAAATAGTTTGGACCAGAATTCTGTGTGAGACTTACTTGATCGATTGTGAGGGGAAGGGTAGAGTGAAGAAGAAGGTCCGGATGGGTGAGCCAGGACTGGATGAGTTTCTGGGCCAGAGGGTCGAGTCCGAGTCCGGCGCCGGTAGGGATGCCGGCGGTGGGAGGCGCCGGAGTTTTCTCCAGTACAACTACATCCCAGCCTGCCCTGATGAGGGCGTGTGCGCAGGAGATCCCGGCTATACTCCCCCCTACAACCACCGCTTTCCCTTTCCTCTCCCCCTCTTTCATTTCATTTCTCAGGCTCAAATTACATGAGCACCTCCACTAGTACTAGTACTGCAAATTCTCTTTTTTTGTAGTCGTTTTGGAAACCAAGTGACACTCATTATTGAATAACACAATGTTAATTCTCTTCATTCCACTCTTGCTAAGAGTGCGAAATCAGAATCAATCTGCAACTCTTTTTTAAATTTCTTGTCTAAAATAGGGTTTTCATATCACAACTTCCCACATCACCATGCCATCGCCTGGGTAGAGTACACCCATCATCAGGTAAATACGACTGGATTAACGCGGTAGATTTGTTGTCATCATGCACAGTTGAAATCCACGGGATGGGGTTTGGTCTAAAGCTACCCGAGTGATCTCTCGAAGGTATATCGTTATGATCAAACTGTAAATTTTTGTAATTTTTAAAATGATTTTATTTACAAATTCATATTTAAATAATAAAAATAAAAGGTATATATATAAATTACATAAATGATCTGAACTGAACCGAAGCCGAACTTAATATATTCATACCCGATTTAAAATTGAAACTGATTAGATCCAACCAGTTATATCTGAAACTGATTAGATCTAAAACTGATAAAATCTAAAACAAATAATGCCCAAAACCGATCAGTTATTTGGTTAACAATATTTTATTTTATCAAATTATCAATGAAAACATTCAAACAAACTAAAATTACCCAGAAATCACAATAATAAGATAATCATTTTGAGAGGGAGGAGTACTTTCCCATCCAAACAAACTCACTTATTAGGCATGTACACACAATCACACATACACAATACATACATATATATATTCCCCGCATGTGTATTGTCACGGACTAATAGAAATAGTCGGTGGCAATATGCAGGGAAAATTGTATATCTAGTATACACGCCGAATGAAAAGCTCTTTATTTTTTTTGAATGAAAAATATATTTTTAGACGGGAGGAGTAGTTATTCTTGATTGGTAAATTAATTAATGCTTGGGTGGTGGTGGCGGGGGCTTGACGATGAGAACGGGGCAACGGGCATGATGAGCGCAATAGTCGCTCACACTCCCAAGAAAAGCCCTTTTGATTTTGCCAAGGCCCCGACTCCCCACCACCAGAACATCAATGTGCATCGCCTCCGCTGCCTCGCAAATTGTATCCTTCGCATCTCCTTCCATAACCAATGTCTCCACCTTCACCTTCACCTTCAATTCAATCAATCAATATATATATATATTAATAAAAAGAAATAGTCTTCTCATTCTATAATATACTATTCACATCCCACAAAACCCTTCCCCTTTCCTTTTTAATCTGTTCCATAAAACACTTTTCTTTTTTATTAAAAAGTCACTTTTACCTCTATTAATTCTTAACTTACCTATCACATTACATTTTTTTCTATTAATCTACCCATTAGAGCTGGCAAATCGGTCGGTCAGGTCGGATTCGGGTTCGGTCACTTCAAGTTCGGGTTATTTCGGGTTCGGGTTGAGAAATGTATGTTCATGACCCAGTGTCATCGGGTTCGAGTCGACCCAACGGGTTATGACTTCGGTTTTTTAAATTAACATTAACACTTACATTTTGTATTAAATAAATTCAAAATATCAAAAAAATGTATTAAATCTATAAAACTATTTTATTCTAAATTCTGAAGCAATTTTTAGATATATAAATCAATGTAAGGAATTTAAAAAATGCTTAAGTTTTAGAAAAAAGTAAGAAAATTATGCAATATCATTGATATTTTGTCTGAAAATATAAAAGAATACACTAAAAACGAGTAGTAAGGTGTATGATTTTGAACAATTCTTACTTTAGCGGGTCGGTCAGGTCGGGTTCGGGTTTGGTCGGGTTTGATCCATTTTTAGCGGGTCATTTCGGGTTTGGTCAACTTCGGCTTCGGTCATCAAAATCTTTGTTCAAAACCCAGTGTTTTCAGGTCGGGTTTCGGGTCCAAAACAGGTCGAGTTATTTTTTGCCAGGTCTACTACCCATCATATCCTATTTTATCCATCGCATCAAAATATTTTTTTGGAAAGTCAACACCAAAATACACTACCCTTAAATTCTTTAAAAGTAAAAATGGAAAATTTTTTAAGGGACGGAACAAGTATTTGTCTATTAAGATTTTATATTGGTACATTAAGACTTTCCTGGAAACTTGGTATATTAAAAAAATAAATGGATTTAGACATAAAGTATGTCTATATTCATTAATTTTCTAATGCATCAAAAAAGCTAAGACATAATAATATACCATTGATATGGAATGGAGGGAGTAAGGGTGTGCATATGTTACACAATTAAATAGTACTCGTGATAATATAACGTACAACACCATAATATATATTATCCCAAATTTATAATAATTAGAGAAATTAAAAAAATGAAAAGAATATTCACTCTAGGTACCCTCAATTTTCTAGTAATAACTTCAGGTCCACATTGTCTGATATATACTCCGAACTACCTTCAATTTTTTGGTAAGATTTCTCAGGTCTCACACTCCGAGAGTCTTTAAAATTAATGGTTATATACTCCGAGTGTACATTCCTGCTATTTGGCTATTAGGATTAAAAGTTCTAGTCCTTTGTCAGACTGTCATACAAAATTTCTCCTTTCTTTTTTTATCCGTCTCAAAAAAAATTTGAGATAGATATTTTTGAAAAGTCAACACCAAAATACCTTCTTCTTAAATCCTTTAAAAATCAAAACAAAAAATATTTTGTAGGACGGAAGGAGTACTAAGCTTCACATTGATAATCACTATTTTATTAAATTAAAATAAAATCCTTCAATTTGTCAATGTAAAGAATTACTTTTAATTTTTTAATTCTAACGCTTAAAAAGATAGAATGTACTCTCGAAATATAATATTACAAATTTTAAATAGAAAATTGAGGATACTTCTCATTATATTTTAGATAATGTGAGGCTTTGAAAGTTATTAAAATAAAATTTTTGATATGCTTACATTGCTTTCCTTGCATATTTGCAAGGCCCTTGATAGTACTTGAGCTGCATTATCTTCTTGGGCCTTCTTCATACCTTCCCTCTCCATTGGGAGTGTTGACGCCACACCTGTACGTGTGTGTGTGTATATATAGAGAGAGAGTTTGAATAATGAAAGTGATGAAATATATACTCCCTCCGTTCACAAATAAACTTTATGTCCACTATTCACATTATCAAACTTTATTCACTATTGTTGGCCTATTTTCGTCATCCATTTGATAAAATATTATAGTCATGTCACCTCTAGTTTTGTATACCTCTAGTTTTGTATATCTTTTGATATAGTTTTTTAATATGTAATTTTTATTTTTCAATTCTACACCATTTTTCATATTAAATGATTTGAAAATAACTTCAATAAAACATCGTAACACGCAATGTAAAGTTTATTTGTGGACGGATGGAGTATTTGCTTGAAATTAAGCTAGAATTAATATAACTGTGAAATGATTAAATTCCGGACCGATATAATACTTCCTATGTCTCTATATTGATTACAAAATAGAAATTACGAGATACTGAAATTATTTTAATTTATAATTTGGTACATTAATAAGAAATAAAAATAATATGTTAAAAACTACATCAAAAGTTCTACAAAACAAGAGGTGACAATAGTATATAATTTTATCAAATAATCAATGAAAACACGCAAACTAACAAAAATTATTGAAAAGAGAGAGAAAATAAAATTGTACTCCGTAATAAAAATGGAGACGCAGGGAGTAATATTTTAAAATATGTTTCAAAATAAATTTTGAAATTTTGACTTTGATTTTTGAAATTTTGAAATTCACATTAACACTTACATTTTCTATGAAATAAATTTAAAATGTCAAAAAATATGTATTAAATCTATTCGATTTTTCTATTCTAAATCCTGAATTTTTTTAGATATATAAATTAATATAAGGAATTAAAAATGCTTAAGTTTTAGAAAAAATTAAGATAATTATGCAATATCATTAGCATTTTGTCTCAAAATAAGAATTTATACATAAAAAAGGAGTTGTAAAGTGTATGATTTTGAAAAACTCTTACTTTAGCGGCTCGGTTAGGTCGGGTTCGGGTTCGGTCAGGTTTGACCCACTATTAGCGGGTCATTTTGAGTTCGGTCAACTTCGGGTTTGGTTATCAAAATCTTTTTTCAAAACCCAGTGTTTTCAGGTCGGGTTTTGGATCAAAAACATGCGGGTCATTTTTTGCGAGGTCTAAATTATTTAAACTTATGCCAAACTAGCACATTTTTTCAATATTTTGGGGTTAAGGTTTAAAATTGTTGTCCAAAAAAAGTCTAATTAGACATAAAGAAAATTAAGAGACAGAGGCAATAGTTACATCCCGTTTGTCTCATCTAATTGAAAGAAAAAGTTGTTTCTAATCTGATCTAATCTAATTTTTAATAAGAATAATTAATAAACTTAAAAAATAATTTGAACGGAACACAATCTAATTATTTTGGGTGGTGTGAATTGAATCCTTGAAAGAAATCGATCAAGCATGAATTGATATACTGTATTAATGAACACAACGAGATTGAAAGGAGTAGCTAGCTAGCGAGCTGACCGTATGGTCCGAGAGGGTAAATCAATGGCTGGACGGTAGGCTGGACGTTGACCAAAGTCAGCATTGCCGGCATCGAGGTGGCATCAGCGGCGGCGGCACATGGGTGGTTCAGTATCAAGTTGCGGAGAGCCCATTGAAGGGCGTAGAAGCTCTCCCCGCTGTCATCTAACGCCACCATCACCTTCCAATAACTCTCCGTTTTCATCCCCTCCACCGCCGCCGCCGCCGCCGGCTGCTTCTGCATGGCCTCTCCGGGACATGCGTATTCACTCGTCTCATCACCTACTATTTTCTCCATTTTTTTCCTCTCAAATTATATCGCACTATTTTTTAATCTGATTAAAATAGTAGAGAAAACGTACGTAAGTTATACGCGGAGTATATGCTATTTATGTTATGATGATACGATAGCAGGTTGGTAAAATAAGAAGGGTTTATCTTTTTAGTACTCCATATGTTATAATACTTCTCTGCTTCAAAAAAATGTCACATCTAATATTCTGATATTCATTTTGGTTGATTATTTGATAAAATAAAATATTATTATCGCATCTTTATTACTCCTCTTGTCTTGAATTATCTTTCGGATTTGACTTGACACAATTTTTAATAAAGTAGAATATTGTTAGTTATGGTTTGTGTAGAGAAAAAATAATTGATACAAACCACATGAGTATTTGTTTCCTTAAGAAATTTGAAACAACTCAAATAGGAGATTTGGAAGTTAATTATCGGACATAGTCGGTACTTTGTAAAAAATTTGATGTACTTTTGAATTGCATTAAATAAAATAATTTTAAAAGAAATAAAATTTTACACATTTTTTGAAATATTACAAATAATTTAGGATGTAGAGAGTATGATAAAAAGAATGGATGTGCCAGATGGCATACAAATAACGGCCAAAATGAGACGTGGACGGCATGCAATGCAATGATCATATCGGGAAAGAAACTTACTTTTGCAAAACGTTACTTTAACGGGTAAACAATGATGGCCATGTATGCCATCACCGTCTCTCAAAAGCATGACACGTAGCACCTTGCATGATACTCCCTCTGTCCCTAAATAAACTTTCCTTTTTAACTTTTGGAAAAATTACCCAAAATAATCTCAACTTTACCCGGTCTTTCAAAAATAATCTCACCTTTCACTGTGATGCATAATAATCCCAACTTTATTGAAATTTGTCAGTTTTGGGTCGCCGTTAAGTTTCTAACGGAGGGTTATCAGAAATGCCCATTTTAGGCAACAAAATGAAAGTTGGGATTATTTTTGATGAATTTTCATTTTTTTTTATTTTTTTTAAATTTTTCATTTAATTTTTTAAAATTACTTTCTACCTCCATCGTCATTTCTTTTTCCTTTTTTAAAGATTAGTCTTAGTTTAAAAAATAAAAATAATAGATATAAAAAATGAAAAAATGAGAAATGTAACTAAAATGATACAAAAATAATAAAACAAATAAGATAATCAATGGAAACTAACTTGAAATTGGTAAAAGTAAAATAAAAATATACGGGTGGGTTTTAATATTTTACGCATTATACAAAGTATTAACATATCACTTCTTATTTTTTAGAAAAAATTATCTAAAATAATTCCAACTTTACCGGACGGCTTGTTCTTTTAAAAAATAAGTACTCCCTCCGTTCCGCTATATTCGTCCACTTTTGACTTTTGGAACTGTTCATCTAAGCACTTTGACTCATCAAATTCTCTCAATGTGTAAGCCTAAATATAGTCATGTATGATTTTGTTTGATTTGTCTTAGCATATAGATTAATAATATATAATTTCTATAATTATTTAATATACAAATTACAAGATAAAATGGATTAAAGAAGTGTATTGGATGGTGTGTAAAAATGAAAGTGAACAAATACTCTGGGACGGAAGAAGTAGTACATTAAGACTTCGTATAGTGTGTAAAATATTAAAACCCACCACTCCGTATATATTTATTTTATTTCTTGCCAGTTTCTGTTTAATTTCTATTGATTACATTATTTATTTGATTAATTTTGTATGGTTTTAGTTATTTTTCTTATTTTCATTATTTTTTATATCTATTTTTTTCTAAGGTAAGAATAATCTTTAAAAAAGAAAAAGAAATTGAGGTTGAAAGTAATTCAAAAATTTTAAATAAAAATTTCAAAAAAAATTAAAAAACAAAAATTCATCAAAAATAATCCCAACTTTCATTTTGTTGCCTAAAACGGGCATTTCCGTTAACCCTCCGTTAGAAACTTAACGGCGACCCAAAACTAGCAAATTTCAATAAAGTTGGAATTATTATGCATCACTGTGAAAGGTGGGATTATTTTTGAAAGAACGGGTAAAGTTGGGATTATTTTGGGTAATTTTTCCTTAACTTTTTGAAGATTTAATGGAGGGATATTTTTGTATTGACTTTCCAAAAATACCCTTGATGTGATGTGTAAAAGTAAGATGTGATATGTAGATTATTAATAAAAAGGTATGATGTGATAGGTAGGGTATGAAAAAGTAAGAAGTAAAAGAGGTTTTTTAAGGGAAACAAGAAGTTTATTTGGGGACCAACAAAAAACGAAAGAGCAAGTTTATTTAGGGACAGAGGGAGTAGTATGAATTTTAGGGAGTATAAAATACGGAGTAGTTTTTTATAACGATAAAAAAGATATACTCTTTTCTTCCCTAAATATTTGTCACATTTGTATTCCCGAGGTAAAATATTAAGTTTTTTTGATTCATTTTATGTACATATTGGTATAGAAATAAAAAATAAAATTTACATATAAAAAAACTACATGAAAAATTCTTCGATATAAGAGGTGTCAAAAATATTTTATTTTATTAAATAACCCATGAAAACGTAGAAATGAACAAAAGTTCTCGCGACTGCTGAAAAAGCAAACATTGTAAATAGTTTGGGACGGATGGAGTAAATTTTTCAAATGCCCAATTAAAAATTAAAATATGAAATAATTAAGTACTTCATCTGTCCTAATTTAAATCACATATTTTAGGTACCTGGTATGGATGATGTTATTTTTAATATAATTTTTTTAAGAACAGGAGCACAATTAATAAACAAAATGTACATGTTAAAAAATTAAACTATATCAAAACTTTAAAAAACAAGATATAACATTACTATATTATTTTATCAAATAAGTAACGAAAATTATGAAAAAATTGAAAACATTAAACCTTGTAAATATTTAATAAGTAACTTAATAAAAATTTTGCACTAAATACGATTAAAACATAAGTCATTTCTTAATATAAGACTTAAACTTTTTTATTCTCTAAATATGACTTAATAATGTCTAATGGGAGGAATAATGTACTGTGATGGTGGATATTATCTGAATAATGACTAATTGATAATGATAAATGGTCCTACATTGATATATAAAAATATATGTTGCTATATTGAGAAAGTCATTATATTTTAGTTATATTTAGATAAATTCCATTAACTTAATTTGGGAAGAAAGGAATAGAAGCTATCATAATCCATAATAACTAGCTAGAAATTAAACTTTATTGAAAAAAAATAACTAAACTAGAATTAAAATATGGACAAGATATCAAAATAGAAGTTTCAATTCATATATTTTTTCTCCAAAATGGGATAATGATGCCAATAATGCTTATCAAGGCCAGCCCATGGGGGACGGGCAGCCCGTCCGGACCAAACCCATGATTTACCAGAGACTAAGTTTTTAAAAAAAATTATTATATATAAGCATTTTTTTCATATTCTATAGCTCAAATTTTGTTTCTCTTATTTTAAAATTGAAATGTTGTTGTGGGAATTAAACCAGAACACTTCAAATAGTAGCACGTAATTGACGTAAGTCATCCGCTTCTAGTACTAATCTTGTTGTTTTAAAATTCGCGCATAAGGTTAGAGCACTCGTAATACATTTGAAGCCCCGGGGCTTCAAACTTTTTC